GCATGCCTACAAGCTCGTCCGGGATCTCTTTGCCCACAAGGACCCTATTTTCAGTGCGCTCAAGCGCATGTCTACTGTTAATCACAGTTCCTCTGTCAAGGGTAATCGTGGCCGTGCCATTAGCACCGACGAGAGCAACCGCAAGGCCTTGATGGAAGAACGCAACAGGCAATTGCTAGAGAAGGCAAACGCCAACCGAGGACGTGCTACCAGCCCTGCGCCAAGTCCCCGTGGCCACAGACGCGATCGCAGCAGCGGTGGGCCAGAGACCAGATTCCCCATCCAGACCAGCCCAACCACCGCAACTGACCGTGCTCGCGGCGGCTTCGGCAACATCAATAGCATTGCCAAGACCAACCGCTCAAGCCTCGACGTTCCCAGCCACGATGCAGATGCCATCAATGGCTCTTCTGAACCCGTAAAGCCGGCTGTCGATTCCCCTACCACCTCCGAGAAGCGTGATAGTCTTCACGGCCGCACCAAATTCGTTGGGGGACGCCGCGTTCCCGCCGAACCTACGCCTGAAGAGTCCAGGGGGATCACCCTAGAGGATGCCCCTATGGACAACCTGTAAATATTTTTACCCGGCATCTGGCGGTTGACTTGGCGCTGTTGGTTTGGCTTTTATTTCCCTCCCTGTCTGGACATTTATTGTTTTGCTAAGGCGAGTGGGAGCATGAGATACGTCTCTTTGTGTGTAAATCGAGCATTTCTGTGTTTGGTCGTCCTATTTGGTTTCCTCATCTCTTTCTTGTGTTGTACGTGGCAATGTGTAACCTCCTACCGGCGATGGCGGCTTCTTCTTATCTAACCTGCGTTAGAGTCTATTATTAGGTGATTCCTTTTTAGTAGACAGTTCAGTTTATTCTATACCAGATGCTTTCTTTTTTTCTTAGCATACCAGTTACGATGGGATAGGGCGATCAAAAGTGATGGGTTTTCTTGGTTGTTTCCTCCCCTTCGAATGTTTCTATTTTCAAATATCTAGTTGTTACGAGAATCGAAATACTCAAGGCGAATAACGAATAGGAAAAGGATTTGGTGAATCAATCAAGCTCAAATGAGCAATTGAAATACATGTGCATGCAATGTATAACCCGTGCTAAATGTCTATTTTCTACTAATATCCGTGGGCTTTTAAAGGGTGACTTGTAAACTTTGTCTAAAGATCTCTAGGAAGGGTCAAAAAAGAGTATTCATTTATTCATTCAGTAAGGTATTTTCCTGTCCCGCGACCTCGACCGGCTTCTTCTTTTTCTTCTTGGGCTTCACCACGACGGCCTCTACGTCGTCAGTCACCGGGCCGCCTCCATTACTGTCCCCGGCCGCTTCTGGCTTGGCCTTCTTCTTCTTCTTTGGCTTGACGTCGATGGAGGCTGGCGCGTCGTCCGTCTTGGCCGGCGCTTTCTTCTTCTTCTTCTTCCGGACCACCGTGGTGCCCTCCGCGTCGACGCCCTGCGCAACCTGTATCCTCTCGTTGGCGCGCTGCATCTCCAGCCGTAGCCGCTCGACCTCCTTCATGGCCATTTGCATCTCGGCATCTTCGCGCTGCTGCCTCTCGTGATCGAATCCGCCGGAGGGCTCACCCTCGAGGTTGAAGGATCCGATGGTGCTGGAGTCGACGCCGAGGAGCGACTGTTTCAACTTCTTCGACTTTGTCTTTGTGAAACTGTCTGAGTTGTTCTCCGAGTCGTAGGCGCGGGATATCCCGCCGCTGTCGCTGCCTTCGAGCGTCTCGTCCGAGGCAATAACCATCTTCTGTCTAGGCCGAGGCGGTGGTCGCTGGGTGGGTGCCGAGGTAGCCATCTTGTCCAGATCCAACTTCATGATAGGGATCGAATCGATATCAAGATCAGGGCCGTTGTTGTCCTGGAGGATGTTGTGAATGGGCGTAGATGTTCGAGGAACATCGTTGCGTGTAGGAATATAAAATGGATCGTCCCTGTTGCGTTCACTTCGCTCTGCCTTTCTCCTCGCCACGATGTCTGCATCGAGATAGCTATCTTCGGATGCTTCTTGATATGAGCCAACGACTTCCTCTCCCGGATCGGCGATCCTACTAATTGCGGGAGCTGACGAGGAGATACTGCTAGGGGCTGGTCGCTGATGGTAGAATATGTCAAAGTCGTCCACTTCGTCTTCTTCCCGTGGCCAGCTGTTTGCTTCCGAGAGGAGGAGGTTCAAGTTGGCATGGATAGGCTCGTCTAAATCTATCCCTTCAGGCGCGGGGACATTGAGTTGAGCTTTAGCAGCGACCGAGTTCAACTCCCATCCACTGAAAAGCGCAGGTATAGCCTGGGTAAGTAACAGTGGCGGGTCTTCAGTATTGTCATCTGTTGATGCGGCCTGGGCAGAAACTGCCTCAGCAGTCAGTTTGAACAGCTCAACAAACTCTACTGCACGCCCCTGAACTTCCAGAGTAGGGTGCGAAACAAGGGGCTCCAGAGAATTAATAATGCGAGCTATCAGTAGGGCAATCCTGGATTTCCTTTCTGGAGTCCAGGGTTCAAGCTCATTCCCAGACAGAGACGAAAACACCTTGGCTATCGTTTGAAGTGCTGTAGCGGTGACCTCCGGCAAACTGCTCCGTGGGATGAGTTGCAAAAGGCCGTTGAGACTGTCATCTGGAGTGGTCAGCTGAACAGCATACTCTCCAAGCATCCAACAGACTGATTTCAATGCTTTAGATGAGATCGAATGTCCAGCGGGAGTATCAGCGTTCATTTGAGCGAGAATGATCTCTGATGCCCTGACGACAGTAGCCCTCATGGCTCTAACTTTGACAGCAACATTTCTCAGCTCGTCACCAATCCTCTCCGACACATCGGTCGAAGATTTCGATGCCGAAGACGGTTCAAGATCGTCGTCCGTCTTTCGCACAACTGGCGCGATGCGTACCAGTTGAGTGAGGACATCAATGTACCAGTCAAAGTCATGAATGTTTGCGTAGTTGTCCTTGGCGCACATGAAGAGAATTCTACCAATGACATCTGTACGGTAGTCGTCGGGAAGATCCGAAGTTTGGTTGCTCTGGCTTACTTCGTTCAACGTCTCTTCGTCAGAGTCAGCACCCATGTCAGCCGATGAGCCGCCAGCGTCATGAGTCTCCGCGGCCGACGCTGCAGATTTCAGCTGCTTCATCAATCGGCTTACGACAAATACTAGATTGTCACCAGTGACCATGCCCTGGACGAGGTCCAGAGCTTGGATCCGGATAGTAATGTCAGGGCTATCAATACATTCCAAAATCACATCTTCTTGTTGTGAGACGAGATCAGGGTGTGTGAGCACAATCTTGTTGAAGGCAAGAAGCGCAACGTATTTCAAATTTGGGTCGCCATCGATCATGACCATGCCTCGCAGCTTCGTTACGCAGAGAGTGGCGATCTCTTCAGACCCCGAGTCGTCTGCACTTAGAATGCCACCCTGGATAATCCCGTTGATGCACTCGTATAGTAAGGACATGGCAGGTGTTGTTCGGATGAGAGTTGTTAAAGGAGGGAGAAGCTTCCTCACAAGCCGCGGTTCCAAAGGTGTGAGGGTTGCAAAAAGCTTGATCAGCTTGATAGACATCCAGTTATTGCCACCTTCCACCAGCAACTCGAAGAGTCTCGGCGCCAGGGCCAGGAAATCGTGTGGTCGTCGCCATCCTAATTCACATACCACGTTGACAATGGCAGCTGTGACACTGGGGTCCTCGTCGGGATCCATCAACCTCTCCTTGATCTTGGGCCATGCTGCACGCAAGGCTTCAGGATACACCAAAGCCAGTCGGTAGAGAGTGACCAACGTCTTCTTTCGGATGTTGGAATGGCTGTGGCCTAATCGGGGTAGGAGGTCCGCTAATACTGAGAGCGCGAGAGAAGGAGTGATCAGGTGAGGCAGAGCGGCAATCGGGAGAGACATCACGGTTGGAGTCGGCGATCCCAGGTCCTACCCGCCATGATCCGGTCAGTCGCTGCCTGCATTCAGGAAATCCGCTTTTCCAACTCACCTTTTTCAGCAGGTTGGTAGCCAACATGAGTACCTCGGTATCTGGCCGAAAGCTCTGCACAGCACCGAGATATCCTACTCGCTTCTGGTGATACTTGGGAGATGACATAACTTCGAGCACGTGGAAGGACGCCCAGCTCATGTCGTAGCCCACCATTTCGAGGTAGATAAGCTTGAGGAGTGCCGTCGCCTTCAAGTCTGTCTCCAGCTGTAAGCAAGAAGCTAGGAGAAAGGGACATATAGACAGCAAGGAGATAAAGATGCATACCCATATCCTGGCTACGGACTTCAGCGCGACATTCCTTCAAGCGTTTCTGGATGTACTCCTTTTCATTGCCCTTATGGTTGCGCAACCCTCGAATGAGGTCGTAAAGTGACTTTTCGAACCTAATAGCCCCAGTCAGCCTCCTCTAAGATCGTTCCTTGGGTCGGTGCGAGCTCCAACGAGGTCATACATGTTGCTGATATTGGGGCCCTACGCGGGGCGACAACGGCGGCGGGGGGGAGGAACCAGCTTTCGTGGGACTGGAATGCGTGACGATGGATCGTTCTCAGGGGTTCGTGGGAGAATAGAGCCGTCGGGTCATTCTGGCTGGTGGTGGTTGAAGCTCGAACTCCGTAGCCGGGGCTGTGTCGAGCTTGCGGAGCGGGAGTGTCGTGCGCACGAGGCGGGATGCAGAGCGAAGATGACGATCGGTCCCATGGCCCCAGCACAGGGCAATTGATGGGGTCGGGACCTAAACGGACCGACCACCACCACCACCAAAACCACCACCACACCACTCAAGCCGCATCGTTGCGACAACCACCATTCGACGTGCGTGCCTTCGCTTTCAGTTCGCAGCCCGACATCCATTTCCTATGGGTTCTGGGTTTCCGGCGGCTCTCTCATTCATTTTCTCATTTCTTAATTGATCATGCATAATTTATAATGACCACACGACGACGCCCATCCGCACCACCAGCACCCAAACTCCTCTAATCCGATTCTCCCAACCCGCCTCTCAATGTCGGCCTCAACCGCCTCCCGGCTCCGCCTCCTGCCTCTGCGCACCTCCCCCCTCTGCCGGCACGCCGCCCCTCGCCTCTCCCGCCCGTTCATCACCCTCCCGGGCTCCGACCTCACGCAGACCCTCACCGCGACCCGCATCCTCCCCTACTCCAGGGACCCCCTCTACTCCCTCATCGCCGACGTCGACGGCTACTCCTCCTTCGTCCCGTACTGCTCCCGCTCCCGCGTCACCCACTGGTCCCCCGCCGACCCTGCCTCCGGCCGCCGCTGGCCCACCCGCGCGGACCTCCACGTCGGCTGGGGCGGCTTCGACGAGAAGTTCACCAGCCGCCTCACCTGCGTCCCCGGCGTCTCCGTCGAGGCCCTCAGCGGCGGCGTCAGGGGCGAGCCCGACGCCTCCTCCGTCTTCAGGAGCCTCGTCACCCGCTGGCAGCTCCGGCCCCTCGGAGCAGGCACGGGCAGCAACAGCAGCAGCAGCAGCCCCAGGACCGAGGTCCATCTGTCCATCAAGTACCAGTTCGTCAACCCGCTTTACGCCGCTGTCAGCGCGGCCGTGTCCGACAAGGTGGCCGGCATGATGATCGAGGCGTTTGAGAAGCAGGCGAGACAGAAGCTGGGCTCCCAGCCGTCTCTCTAGGTTTGGAGGCGCAGTAATATCACCCATCCCACTCATGTCATACAGCATACACTCGGCGTTTAAAAGAAGAGAGGATTTTTTTATAAAAAAGCTCACGCGGTGCGGATTTCAATCTTAGACAAATAGATAGATGTATATGTGAAACTAGGGTATCCAACAACCACACCAAAGCACTGCGTGCATAGACAACATGCTATGTATGCACTCACTCACAATTTCGAGCCAACGTACAAGTCTAATGTTGCTCCAATTTCCCTAATAAAAACACAACCAAAGCAAATTCGAACCAAAAAAAGACATCTCGGACCAAAATCAAAATCCAGACTCTACTTATCCAAACTTCTTCTCAGACACCATCCACACACACTACTTGCCATGTGAACTTGACCAACCAAGACCCTTGTAAAGAACACCGACGGCTAAACTCCAGTATACATGCATAAGGACGTAGATAATGATTCGTTCGGGGGTGGCTTTCGTGAATCGCTTTAAGAGAGGAGTTGAAACGATGTAATGATGCTGCTGCTGACCCTCAAAGAAAAAATGATACGAAATCAATTGCCCCAATTGGATGGGCAATTACAGAAAATAACGGTTGCAGTATCAAAATGCTTTTTGAAAAGGGGGATTTTGAAATCACTTGCTCTTCGACCTATCAAAAACTGTAAGTTGAGGGGTCCAAGTTTAGAAGGGGTATTATTCTGAACATACTTTCTCTTCGGCTTGCCACCCCCGACAATGAACCCCAGAAACCCCGGGTTTCCATGGTTCTTCTTGTCTTTCTTGGGCTTGTGGGGTGTGGCGTTGACCACGGTCACACCTTCGGGAACTCTTCCATCCTTCCCAGGCGCATGGCCAAATGGGGGAGGCATTGGCACCGGACCGCCTTTGCCTGCTCGGCCGGGGTGGAGAGGGCCGCGACCACCCACCGGCCCACCGTGAGATGGAATCTTGCCTCCTGGGCCCGGCATCCGAGGCGGAGGCATCTTCTCGATCGGCCACATAGTCATGGTGATAGCCCAGTCTGGTTCAACCACCTTCTCCCATACAGAGGGCAAGATGATCTCTCCGTTAGGCCCAATTAGGTCGTAGTGGCCCTCTTGGACATGCGGACCCAGAGTTTCCACTTGGAGGAAAGCTTGCTTGATGAGCTCCTCCATACCCTAGTGTTGAGTCCGTTAGCACCTTGTCCCGTATCCAAACTTTAAAATCAAAGGTACTTACTGCCCAGGTGGCGCAAAGGTGGAATGGGAAGCTAAACTTTCTGCCAACCGCATCTTTGAACCTGATCGGTAACTTCTCGGCCTTCTTCTTCTCTTCCTCAAACTTGGCCTTCGTCTCGTCGGCGATCTGCTTCTTCATCTCCGCTGCTGCCTTGGCAGCGGCGGCATCAGCTTCGGCCTTGGCAGCTGCCGCCTTGACGGCCTCTTCTGCAATCTTTTTCTTCAGCTCTTCAGCTTCAGCTGCAGCCTTTGCATCAGCCTCGGCCTTGGCAGCTGCCGCCTTGATGGCATCTTCCGCAATCTTTTTCTTCAACGCTTCGGCTTCGGCCGCAGCCTTTGCATCAGCTTCAGCCTTGGCAGCTGCCGCTCTGATGGTTTCTTCCTGAATTCTCTTCTTCATCTCTTCAGCCTCCCTGGCAGCCTTGGCCTCGGCTTCAGCCTTGGCAGCTGCCGCTCTGAGGGATTCTTCTTCAAATCTCCTCTTCATCTCTTCGGCCGCCTTGACAGCCGCGGCCTCGGCTTCAGCCTTGGCAGCTGCCGCCGCTTTTGCGTCAGCTTCCGCCTTGCGGATCGCATCTTCTTGGATCTGCTTCATGCGCGCCGCTTCTTCGGCCGCTTTCTTCTCGGCAGCAAGTTTCTGCGTCTCTGCCGCCCTGATAGCATCCTCGAGTCGGCGTTGCGCCTCTTCCTCAGCTCGCTTGCGGGCCTCTGCCTCCATTTTTTCTCGTTCCTCCTTGGCCTTCATCTCTGCCTCAAATCTCTTCCTCGCTGCCTCCTCAGCTTGGGCCATTGCCGCAGCATGTGCCTTCTGCCTCTCCTCTTCCGCCTTCCGCTCTGCTTGGATGCGTTCTCTAGCAGCGCGCTCTGCTTCCGCCTTGGCCTTCTCAATCTCCTTCTTGGCCTCCTCCTGTGCCTTCCTCATATCTTCCATCCGTCGTTGGAAGGCATCCTCGGCATCTTTTCTGATTTGGGCCTCAAGTTCCCGCTGCCTATCTGCCGCTTTTGCCTGCTCCTGAGCCGCCTTGAAAGCTTTGAGCTCGGCCTCAAGCTTGAGCTTCTCAGGGTCTGGGGGAGGAGGTGCTGGCTCCTTCTTCTCCACTGCTTGGCTCGGTGCCTTCACCAGCTCGTTGCTCTGTTGGGGTTGTTGAGGCTGGCCAGCAATCTGATGAGGTGGCTGAAAGTTTGGATGCATTGGGTAATAGTAAGGATTGGGGTATCCCATCATGTCGTATGGATTCTGGCCATAGGGGTTGTTATTATATTGGTATGGAACCATTCCTTGGGGGCCGCCATTGGGCATCGGTTGCATAGCGCCATACATGCCCTGTCCAGGGTGGTTGCCGTAGCCGTTTCGGCCACCATTCTGATCCATGTAGGGAGCATGGCGTCCACCTCCTGGAGCATGTCCATTTTGTGCTTGATGATGGCGCATCTGTGGGGGGAAGTGTGCGCCCTCTCGGCCATAACGGCCGTGGTCGTCGTAGGGAGCCACGTTGGCTGCTTGTTGTTGGAGATGTCCCACAGGTGGGAGGTGTCCACGCGGCGGAGGTTCAGCTCGCGCCGGGAAGTGCGCACGCCTACCACCGTGTGGTTGAAGCGGGCCTTGCTGCTCTTCGAAAGAAGCGGAGTCCGATTGATCGACTATATCGTCGTCGGTATAGTAGTCTTCGTCCTCTTCGTCGGATAAGCCAGTGTATTCCTCCTCTTCTTCGCTATTGAAAGAGTTCGACTGTGACGAGAAGCCAGCAGGTATTGACGATTGATGATGTTGCTGCGGGTGATAACCGTTAAATTGTCGAGTAGTTAACTTTCTAAAGGCAGTTGTCAGCGCGTTGAGTAGTGAGGAAAACGAGGGCGGGGATGGGAGAAGCGAAGACGAACGGCATGTCAGATGAGTTAGGTGGACACCTTGATTACAACAACTCTCGCTTGGTCGGGGACAATCGGCTGAGGAAGGGCGGGCGGTGATCAACGGCGACGCTTGGAGAATTAATAGAGCAGCGCTATGGAGTGCTAGGCCCCCCGAGGGAAGAAGTGTCAGCCTATGCCCAAAGAAGCGCAAAGAATGAAGACAGCAGTGCTGCTGTCAAAATGCGACTAAGGCCAATGCAAGCGCAAGAGAGCAGAAGAGGGGAGAAGGAGGAGTAGGGGCGCGGAAGAGGGGGGAATGCGCGCGAATGGAGGGGTGGGCTATGCGAAAGAATCAGGTCGGCGTTGTGACGATGTGTGGTCACCGAGGCCAAGGCAAGGTAGTAGGAGGGAGGGGTCAAGAGCTTGCGCTGGCTGACAAGCGGAACCTTGGCTCCTTGAATGTGTGCTGTGCTGTGCTATGCTATGCTGCGCTGCGCAATGCTAATTTTTCTGCGTTGCTTACCTACAAAGTAGGTCAATCACTGCTGCGTCGAGGCAGATTTGCTGGCACACCAAACCCGGCCTAGGGCGGCAGATTACCGAGATGATGGGTAAGGCTGAAGGGCGGGTGGAAACTCTGAGAGACTAGATCTCGAAAAGTCAATCACTTGAGCTGTGCGTCGTGGATGATACGAGGGGCGAGTGAAACACAAGCAAGCGGGCGGCGAGGAGAGTGTATCCGAAGGTGGGATGAGATTCGAGGGTAACGCAGGTTGCAGCAAGGGAGATCGCTTGGAGACGGGCGAAATGGTATGTTGCTTGGTGGACGGCAATGTTTGTTCTTGCTGGATGTGGGTGGTAGGACTGGGGGGCTTGTTGACTATGGAAGAGGGGCGATTTGCGTTGGGAGGGGAGGGGCAGCCAAAATAGGTGTGACGATGGGCTGGGCTTTTTTTTTTTTTTTTTGCTGGGAGGGGGCTGCTTGTGCTGGCTGCTGTGGCGCTCTCTGCAAAGAGAGGGAGGGGCGACGGTAAATAATGAAGGGCAGAAACCGGCGGTGAAGGGAGCTGATGCGAGCCGCAGAAGCAGAAGCCATCCACCAGCATGATGAGGCTTCTGTTTTCTGGGCCCGGTGTCCCTGTCCTGTCGCCTACTTGTGCTGAGCACAACCTAGGAACGGGCCCTGGCCATCCAGAGCCGTCGATGCTTCGGAGCCCCAGCTTGCCAATGCAGCCAGCAAACGACCAACTGTGCCGATAGGTCCTAAAATGAGCTGCATTGCAGGCAATGCACTGCGCCCTTGCACACTTGCTGCCTGGGCCAATCGCCAGTTGCATCTCATGGGCCAATCTATGGAACAAGGAAGGCCTGACGGATCGTATACGGCCGTGTGCTGGCGTGTACCCAGGAAAAGCGAGCAAGCCCTCGTCACTCGAACGGCAGCCCGGAAGATGGCACTGGCCAGCCACAGTAAGCACGCCTGCACAAGCGTGAAGAGGGGGTAATGGGTCGTCGCCAATGGATACCGCCATTCATCGAGGAGAGCGACGAACGAGGCGAACGACTGCCTCCAAGGTCGAGTCCACAGTGATTTGCGACATGTAGGTACACGCCACTGCATGTGTCTCTCATTCAATCACGGTCCGACCTTGGCACAAGTCGTTTCGATTGGCACGACGATCGGGGATGTGGACCGCCCCAAGGGCCGCCAGCGAGTAGCGACAGCAGTCCGACAATCCACAAGATCATGTATGTACGATTGTGGTCAAGCGATCTGGCATGGCTTGGCTTTTGCTCTGTTTAGAGCCTGTGCAGGCCGAGGGCATCCCTCCCATCGACCTCTAGCCGCGACAGCACGCCTGGCCACTCGACCTGACATGCGCTGCTGCGCGACAAGCCCAAAATGCTGGCAACGGGGTGTCTTCGGTTGACTATCGTCATTGCCGAAAGATGGCTGCGGGAACTGCAGGCAAAGCACTGGCTGCCTGGATTGGGAGACGCACATGCACCGAGTCACATCGAGCGCCAGATGATATACGACGACGGGTGTGTGTGTATGCCTGCGTGCAGCGGCGTGCATGCGTGCGTGTGTACCAATTGGCACCGGGGAATAACGAGCGAATAGGGAATCGAATCATTTGCTTACTTACCGATTGCACGTCTCCGTGGACGAGAGCGCGTGAGTGGCAAGCAGAAAGAGCCTGCTGGCGACGATGTCTTCTCCCACACCTCCAACAAGCTGAAAAGGACGACGAGGAAAACAGGCGGACGAGACCGAGGTGGGAGCGGGTGCCGGGGATATATGATCAGAGCGGTCGAGTCGAGGCTGGCTTAGGTCGGTCGTCGTCTTATGCGGGTTGCTAGGATGACTGTGTGTGTGTGAGTGTGTGAGCTAAAAAAAAATAAACAGGCGCCAACAGAATGCCAGTCGTGACCGTTTCTTGTTTGATTAGTAGTAGCAGGTCGCTATGCAAACACTTCCTTCAGCCACCGAGAGGGAGAGCAAGTCGGTCAGCCAGGCACACCCACCAATAATCTCAGTTGTTTCCCTCAGCTGGTCCAGTGACTGGGCACTTAGTAGCGGTTACTAATAATCTGTGAGACAAGTACCTGATCCGAAACAAGGCTTCCGGTATAATATTAGCGTCCCTTGGTTAGGCCTCTATTCACACCAGACGTAGCCAGGCTTTATGTCAGAGGGGCGGTTTGGTCCGCCTGAGTGTCTTCGTCTAACGGTGCGCGCGGATGGTTTCGTCCTCAAGGCTCCAGGGAGTCCAGTTTGGCAGTGGAGGGCTCCGGTACGTGCTCCAGCGGTCCAGCGGTCCAAGGGTAGGGGGGTCCCGGGATAACCTGGGTGGGTGAGCCAATTGACACTGCCTTGTTTGTTGGTACCTAACGTTACCGACGCCGATACGCAGGGTAAATTATTAATCCAGCCAACACATATGCAGCAACAACAACTCTGACCGGTTGCCTCCTCTCCTGGTAAATGGTCCAAGCCAAGATGTCCAATATGCCCGGCAGTCTCACCTTATCACACAAGTCGAAGCGAAGAAAAGCACAAAGCTCCTCTCCAAATCGATCGGTCGGCCTGTCAAACTAGGCTTTGGTTCCCAGCAAAGCACGGTCCGTTTTTCTTCGTTGGTAGTCTGGTCTGGGGTTCCTGGAATCTGGCAACCTTGACCAGCCAGCCAAAATGGGTTTGGTTGTTGTGGACTCGTCAAGCAGAATGGGGCACTTCCCTTCCAAGCAAAGATGTGCTGTGCCGATACGGACGAGGCAGCTAAGGTTGGTCGAATCCAAAAGAAAATAGAGTGGTCGCCGCGACAGTCAGCACCCAAGTTGCGAAGCCAAGGAGGGAGGGTATCACGGTTCAATACGTCTTTTGCTTTGTTCGCCTTCTTCTCGGCTAGGAGGATCAGCACTTGATATAGGCTGGCCTACGCTCTTTATACCTGCCGTGTCAACGCATGCCACGCAAACGCAAGCCATACCCGCGCTGCTCGAAGCTGTCTTGCTTTGTGGCTGCTTGCATGCATCCTACATACATCCCGCTCAGTCGCCATTGCCGCAAATCCCATGTTACCCGTCCGTCCTATTCTCTGGAATCCAACCACGTTGGACGCACCTGTTCTCGAATATGTATTCGAGCCTGGTCTTGCGGCCTGATCTGACCCGGCACTGCCTCCGGACTCGCAACTTTCTTTAAACGTGGACGGCGGTGGGTCAATCACCAACGGGGCGACAGGCATATCCCTGGCAAGGATCAAGTGCAAAGTAGCATCTCAGCAACGCGGGTCGTTTGCCACCCCGCTATAGCCTGCCATTGGACTGCAACGGACCCCTCGCGCTCATCATGGTCAGATGGCCCTGGTTCCGCTGGGCTAGTGGACCTTGGAGCGAAAGGCCAGGCCATCGAGGCTTCTAGCTCAGTGGGTCGGAGTTGTTGTTGCGCAGGGCGTTCGGTGGTCGAGCCCGGCAACGTGCATTCTACCCGACTACGCCCAAGGATGAACACCCCCAATGAGACAACACACATCTGGCCTGAATGCTGTTATTCGTTTCTCAGGAATAGGCAGCCATCGAGGCTTTCAGATTTTCATTTCCGGCCCGCCAATTGCCTCTGCCCGTACCGTAACAAGTGAGTACATAGCAGGCTGTGCCTCATCGGTAGAATTATGGGACCAGAAGTCGCCTCAAGGAACGACTCTCTCACGGCCCAACGAATCCTGTAGAGTTTCTGCCCAACCACAGTCCCAGCACGAGGTAACCCTTGGTTGCATCGATCAAAGTCGCATCCCCACCCCCAGCAAGCTGTCGAGGATAGACCGATGGAGTCATTATGCGCCCAATGTTGAGGAAAATGTCACCTTTGTTTCTAGCACCTGCAAAGGTGCATATTACGAGCCTAGCACATGATGCTAGGACTTTGGAAGCCTGTTCCTACGTGTATCAAACCTCTTGCCTAAAACCCATCTAGATCAGCTGGGCAAAAAGGGAAGAGAAGCATCATATATCCACATATTGCATGGATGTCCCCGGATCCAATATGAGGTGGAGCATCCAATCTGTTGCGTCAAGAGACTTGGCTTGGTTCTATGATCTATCATGTCGACGGGTAAGTCTGTACGAGGGAGAATACACTCGACAATAGATGACAGCTAGTTTCACAGTCGCCTTATCATATCAACCATTTTTCAAGGGCTTGGCTCAGCAAAGCTTCATCAAATGTTATGTTCTATTATTGATAGTTACTCAGAACCAAATTCAAATAACGACAATCGGTAAAATACAGGATGTCTCTGCTTGCCACTCGTAATGGAGACCCTGCATATGTTAGTCCCAACTCCATGCGCCACGTAGAATATCTCCCGTAAATCAGAAATGCCTCTTCCACTCTGTGTGCTTTCACGATGTGGTTGACAGCCAGTAGAGGTCCTCCAATCAAACACAGCAATCCCCTCACTGGGTATCAAAACATGCGCTATATGCACGCTCCCCAGTAATCCGGATCAACGTAAGACACTCCGAGGGAGCCAAGACCCTGCCCTTAGGAACGAACGGCTGCGATCAACGGCTCGGGAGATGAGCCGCAGAAGCCTGCCGTACTCAGAGAGCCAGCATAGAGAGTGTGTCACTTGATCGCCAGCCAATTTCGAAATCAGATTATCGCACTAATTGAGGCGCTGACTCCTCGAGTAGAGTTTTCGCTGCGGCGATCTCGTCGGCATCATAGCCCTGCCAGAGCTTCTCCTTCGCATTATATCTCCGTACAATCTCTCCCAACTTCCCTGTTGCTACCTGATTTAGTTTTTCAACTTGCTTTTGGTCGGGAAGTTTTGGCTCATCAGCGTCTTGCTTCTTGCTCTTCCCAGCTTGGCTCAGTACTTGGTCGGTCACCTTGGGCCAGAGTCAGTATTTTCAAGTCTGAATTTCAAATTGAGGAAGTGGTGTCGCACCTTCTTCAGTCCGTAATATCCTCGTAGATAGTCATCGCACAGCTCGATGCTGCGGCAGAACCGCTTCAGGGCCTCGGCAAGGTGCCTACCGGAGGGGTCGGTCTCTGAGTTGGCTGCCATGAGTAGGATCTCACCCAGCCTTGCGTGGACCTGCAGTAAAATTAGCTCTCATGTCCTTTTTCAACATAATATAGTGGCGCAGCATACGTTCCAGGCATTTGGAACCAGAACGAGCACTTCCTCCAAAGAGAAAATAGCCTGTGAATAGAGCCCTTGTGTCAGGTACAATTCTGACAACTCGGCCCATCCCTCGGCGTCGGTTGGGGTAAAATCGAGCAGGGCTGTCAGAGATGTGATTGCTTCCGGGATACTTCCCATCGAGCGGAGCAATGCGACTTTTCGTTTTGCGATGGGCTTGTCGACTAGTTAGTCCAGCATTATCATATTGGCCATTGCTATACGCACAATATTGGATGAGTTCTCCTTGAGAATGCTGTCGTATTCTGCCAGTACGGCCTGCAGCTGCTCTCTGCTCTCTGCTTCTGCTTCCTTCACAAGCCCCTGAAGCGCCATGATTTGCTCATTCTTTTCGCCAAACCGAAGCACAAGTCGGTCCAAGCACTCGTGCGCTGACTGGTCGTTCTTCGTCCGCAGACAAGCTACCAGAAGGTTCCCGTAAATGGTCCAAAGGTCTGCGGTTTCCGAGGCCGTGAAAAGGGAGACGAGCGGTGACGAGGAAATGGCCTTTGGGTTGTTCCGGAGGATTTCAGGTGCTTGTTGCGCAAGCTGGAGAGCTTCGGCTGGTGACAGGTGGCCTTGAGGCCCCAGTAGAGAGGGCGCCATAATTAGAAATGGAGGAATAGGTTGAATTAAAAACAAGAAGAAGTAAAACCAGGAATTATCAGTGCGCTCGGAGTATTTCGGTGGATTGTTGACAAAATCAAGCTCTACTATTTGAACTTATGAAGATGCGGTGCTTCGGGAGCTTGACATCAATGAACAGCTCTCAATTCCGGCAGGAGCAGTGGGGCAATTGAACGCGAAGTGATTGGTCTGCATCTTTCGCTCTCGGAAGATTATATGCTCCGGTCCCGACCTGGCGGCTGTGCCCCGCGACACGGTCTTCAAAAAATTTCTGGCTCAAAATTTCTTTCTTCTCTTCCTCCTCCTCATCTCGACTGCACTCCTTCTCAGCAATCGGGTCCATGATTGACTAGCAGCCATCATGTCTACAGTGCTAATTGAAGATGCTGGGAGTCAAATGACACCCCCAATCGAGGGCGTCGCAGAGCTAAATATCTCGTCACCGCCGACAGGAGAAGAAGGCGATGTTCCCTCGCACAGGTCTCATGATCCTGCGACGAACGCAAAGCGAACTGATCCATTCCAGTTTGGTAGTCGCTATCTGGAGGCGGGAGACAATGTATTCGAGTACAATGCCTGGGACCACGTCGAGACTGACGATGTATACAAGGAGTACGCTGAACGTCAGTTTGAGATGCAGCGTCAGTCTCCCGTCTCTGACTTTGACAAGAGTAAGTTTCAACACCTTCTTTCCTACTCCCCAACCTTTGTTTTCTGGAACCCACCCACCGGGCTCTCCATGTGATGTGATGATTCTCCAACCAAAATGCATAGTTCATCTGATACTACTGATGACAACCTAGCCTTCAAAGTCTTTCGCTCCCATCTGATCTATCACTCAAATCTCCTTTACTCTAAATTGCACCTGCGCCGATATTCAGACGCTAACATGAGATTCAACAGACAGATTCAACTCAAACCCTGCCAAGTGGTGGAATATGTTCTACAAGAACAATACTGCAAACTTCTTTAAGAACCGCAAGTGGTTACAACAAGAGTTCCCCGTCCTAGCAGAAATCACAAAAGAAGATGCTTCACCAACTGTAATCCTAGAGATTGGAGCTGGGGCTGGTAACACTGCTTTCCCCATTTTGGCCAACAACCACAATCCACACCTAAAAATCCACGCCTGTGACTTCTCGAAAGAGGCTGTAGAAGTTATGCGCAAACAGGAAGAGTATGACACTAAACACATCCAGGCCGATGTGTGGGATGCCGCGGGTGATGAGCTTCCCCCTGGTCTGGAAGAAGGCTCCGTAGACGTTGCTATCATGATCTTCATCTTCTCGGCCTTGTCACCCACCGAATGGACCAAGGCCGTGGCGAATGTGCACAGACTATTGAAACCTGGCGGGCTGGTCTGCTTCCGAGACTATGGAAGAGGTGATCTTGCTCAGGTCCGCTTCCGCAAGGGACGCTACCTTGAGGAAAACTTCTACATTAGAGGCGACGGCACCCGCGTCTACTTTTTTGACAAGGATGAGCTTGCCGACATTTGGACGGGGAAGGACAGCACAGCCGATGATGCACCCAAGTTCGAGGTTGAAAACCTGGGCATTGACAACCGCTTGCTTGTGAACCGGGCGCAGAAATCGAAGATGTACCGGTGCTGGTTACAGGGCCGTTTTAGGAAGAAGTAGGGAGCTATATCTCAAAATTTAAAAAAAAAAAGCGAAATCCAAAATCGAATGGCCAAGGTCTATGTCTAATTCAAATCATGCCCTCGTTGAGTAGAGAAGATTGCGTCGGAGTGCCACTCTCTCGTCCTCCTCGAACCCAATGAAATCGAGGTATCCGTTCAACCCACCGTATTGCTGATCTAGGTGCCTGGTGATCCCTGAGATCATGTTCTTATCAGTTCCCGCCCACTCCTCGGTGAGTCCTATTTCCCCTATCTCAGCCAGCCTCTCCTCTCGCTCGTGAGCAATTGCTTCGTCCGTGAGAAAGTAGTCATATTCGATGGCTTCAATCGGAATACCCAATATCAGCAGCACCAAAGCGGCGATGAGTCCTTCACAATCCCAAGTCAGCTTGACCAGTCAAGTGTTCGGATTGGCCTTGAACCATAGTCTCACCTGTACGATCCTTGCCGTGTGTACAATGAACCACACTCGGTAATGTACTCTGTGTCGCATACAAGGATAGAGCTTCGCATATCTCGTAGCCAGATTGGTCCATCGTATCCAAGCCAAGGCCCAGAAGCCCTTTTGGTAACATCACCTCTCGGCCGATGACACTGATGGCTTCCATGCGATATCCGGTCGCGTATAAACCGACGCAGTTACTGAGATTCCATCCATACACAATCAGTGCTGATCAGAAAGGCATATGACAAAGACGACAAGCTTACAAAAAACCCCACCAGGACAGCTGGCGCACCAGATGTCTCTCGAGCTGGCGCCCTGCAATTTTGATCTTGTGGTATTCCACACCGGGGATCTGAATGGGGTCTGGACCCTCGCTGAGCGACCGATAATGGGCCTCTAGCTGAGCCTTGTGCTTCTCTGCTTCTCTCAGGTGCTCCGTGCTGTTCCAGTTAGCGAAGCTAAGTTTCGAAGGAAGGGGGGTGTTACTCAGTGCGTAGATCTATCACAGTTTTGATGCCAAGATCGCCAGTCATGATCTTTTTATCCTCGGCAGTTGCTTCGTCTGTGGGAGTCTATTGTGTAAGCTTAATTTGGTATTAAAAGAAGGTTAACTTATGGTCTCACCCAGTCTAGCGGAGCGGAACACCAAGCCTTCCTTAACACGTCTGCTCTGCAGGTTAGCATCCCAAGCCCGGAAATCCGGTGGTGATATTCATTTAGGGGGTGAAAAGTCCTGACCTCTCGCCTAAAAACGTGTTGATGACATAGCCAACATCTCGAAAGTTGGAAACCTTCTGAAGGTTAGCCAACTGGTTCGCCATGGTAAAAGGGGTAGAGGATGGCCGTTGAGTGAGATGGCGTTGAACTTTCACATGTCACCAGAGGTGTATTCGAAATGCCGTGTTGATGTCCAGGGTAGTTCGAACTCCAGGGGTCCACCAGGGATTTGGGATGTGTCCCAATCTTGTTACCCAGCCACTTGGGCTCAAACCTCATAGTATCTGCCCATTAAGGATCAGTTATGATTTATGATTACTAGAGATGCCCAAGGTAGTCATAGCTCATACACATAAACACGAAACAGGGATTATTCGTTCCTAGGCAACCGGTTTTCAGGTGATGACTGTGCATCCAGCTGTAGGTAGGGACTGGGTAGCACTCAAGGGTAGCACCCAAGGAAAGCGTATGCCGGATCAGCAGATGAGGGCCTAGAACAAACAGACCAGAGTAACCCCAAATAGCATTCCCGCCATCACATTGCAGCGCAGCCGGAGGCTTGGAATACGCCATGCCCCTCCGTGCACCAGGGTCTCTTTCGACTGAAGATCACAATCCAGTCGTGGAACAGGGATTGCTGATGCAATTGACGGCAGTTATTGGCTAGCCTCTGCGGGGAGACTCTGCAGCCTACGCCATCTACAGAAAGCGAGCTGCGAGATACTGCACTGAAGGTCAGCGCGCGGGATCCGCTGGGCGACCGAAGGTACTGGGCTAAAGTTAGTGCTAGCGCTACTGATAGCATGTACCGCCACGATCGAGCCGGTGGTACCGACATTTACGTGGAGTCAGGCCACCCAAGGCTGTACCGGCGCTGGAATTGCTGGTTTCCCACTACTGCCCAGCTGAGCGAAGTGGCACTGGCCCCGCCATCTTAAGTATCCTGTAGTGCTGGTTCGCCCGGAAGCACGTTCCTTCCTGGCGTCACCCACCACGATCTTCATGACGTCAGTGTCTGAAACCCTTCTGCCGCTTCAAGCTCCAAGCCTCTGGACCGCGACGCACCGGCGTGGTCTTGGCCGCCGGCTTTCAAGAGGGAAGAACCCTGCCTACCTGAGTAGCTCATGCGCTTCGTCAAACTAGCTCAGCATGATCCATTCTATTGTAGTCTGACCTCGTCATCATCCTCAGACATTCGTTATATCAACTCCGTCCTCATCCGCCAACCCTCCACCTCTCTCCAGTCGTCCTCAATCCCGGCGTCGTGTCTATTCCCTTGAATCCTATGATCCGGTTGCAAATATTCGTATTTTATACATAGATACCACCTCATCGCCCAGATCCGGTCAATCCTACAGCTGGTTTCCAGGCTGGCCCACCTCGGAAACCCAGGCGCCATCGCGATTGGGCTGATATTCACAACGTCCGCCTAAGCACCTATCAGCTACCAGCCTTTGCCATTGAATACGAGCTACGTCGCGACCATTTAAAAAACCAGAATCATGGCTGAAGCCACGCCTCAAGCCCCTCTCAGTATGCTACTTCTAATCCTTTGGACCCATCTCTCTGCTGGTCGCCGCGACTCTCAGCCTACACCATACTAACATATGAATCACCTTGCACCAGCAGCCAATACATCCGGCAGGCTCAAGTACGCCGATCCTCGAACGTTACCGAGCTTCCCTTCCAGCGGCTTGAGACCGGACGGCGCAGCAGCCAGCGCCGCTGCGACACTGGGTTGGAATAACCAAAAATCCATCGAACCGTGGAAACCAGAGAAGCTGTCTTCTGCATCTGCCGCTGCTGTTTTGGCGAAGGACTATAAGATGGCGCCTCAGTGGGAACCCTCCTCGAACTCCGCGGGTCACAAGGCCGCTCTTCTTGCCGTGGACTCGGCGAACTCTGCATTCAAACAACATTCGCCTACCAAAGATCAGCATGAGGGCTGGGGGAACTCTGCTGCCTCGCAAGCCTTCAATGCAAACCGGCCCTCCTCCCCCAAAAAGAGCGACCTGTCTCATGGCAGCTCAGCCGCAACTCAAGCCTTCAATGCCAGCCGAACCCAGTCACTGCGCAATCTCGAACAGCCCACATCCCCGCCAGCCGACCGTTCCCTGATCGCTGCTAAAGGCGCCATGTCATTTCGGCGTCCACGCGCATCCTCAACTCCCACCGCACCTCGAACACATGAGTCGCATTTGCAGGACAGCGCTGCAACGAGCGCACTGAATGGAGCGTCAGTCGCCCATAGAGCCGCTTTGAAGGCGCAGTCTTCTCCGCACGACGCAGGGGCTGTTCCTATAACTACAATGACTCGGAATATGTTCACATCAAATCCCATGGTGAAGCCCGAAGTTGACGAACAAACGAATAACGCTAGGCTGCACCAGTCAGCTGTAGAAATGGCGAGGAAGATGTACAGCAACCAGCAAAAGGCGGGAGGGTCCCCTTTGCTAGGTTCTGAAGACAATACAGAGAAGCCTTCACAGTCAGCGGCTGGGTATGTTAACCTGCAAGATGCAGCATACAAACAGGCGCAAGAACGATTGGCCAAATTGCAAGACGAGCACGAAAAGTACTATGGAGGCTCAAAGCCACGCCGCCGGTTTACTGTTTCCAGTAGGCTCCGACGAAAGAGCTCAGATGACGATTTGATCAACGACCGCGAACAATCAGAGAAAATTCGCCAACAGATGTCGATGTTCTCCACTAAGCTGTCAGAAGTTGACCAGACGAAACGGAAGCAGGAGCACGATGCTCTCATGGCAGCCGCGACGCGAAACGTGAAAGCCCGTTTACATGGTATGGATGAAAAGGTCTATCATGAAACTGGAAAAGTCAACCCATCACTTCTAAGCGACTGGGAGGTTAAGGCGCAGCAAGCAGCTCAGTCGCGCCATGAGGGACGCACCGAAAATAAGGGGAAGCTTGATTTGGGAGGAGGCATGTACATGGATCCAAGTGATGTTGATGCCATTGCCGCGAAGAGGATGCAGCCCCTTCTTGATGATATCAGTAAGAAGGCTGAGGCCGAACGCGAGCGACTGGCAGCATTGAAACTTGAAGAAGAAGCCCGAAAAGCAGAATTGGAGCAGCAAAAAGCTCGCGAGAAGGAGATCAAAGAAACCAGCAAGAAAGCGCGAGGTAAGAATTTCCAAGTTGATCAGAGGCCAGTCCCCGTGATGTGATAAACTAACGCCTTGGATATAGAGGATGAGAAGCATGAGCAGAAGGCAAAGAAACAACAAGAGAAGGACGTAGAGAGAGCACGAAAGAATCAGGAAAAGGCCGAGAAGTCTGAGCACAAGCGCACGGCGAAGGAAGAGAAGCGCAAGTCGAAACAAGATTCTGCCAAGAGCGGCATTGATGGAAGTGCTGCTGATGACGATGCTGGACCTGCTACATCAGCAACGGGTGAAGCCTCACACACTCTTCCTGCTGTAGTAACGACGAATGCTGCCAGTGACGCAGGCCAGGCCGGCAATGCGGGCTTCGACAGCAACCCGAATTCTCCCAGAGATGAGCCAATTTCACCTACGTCGAAGGTGAAGGACTGGATCAAGAATCGATTTTCCAGAGGCAAATCTGTGAGCGAACAGGACGATCCGAAAAGGAAGAGGAGCTCTTTCATAGGTGGTGTCTCGCTTAAGAAGTCTGAGGCAAACGGAAGCACCACCAGCCTGGATCGTCGCGCCTCAAGCTTGAAGGATGTGGCCCTTGCTGGAAAGGCTCGGGATGAAGGCGTCCAGGACAGATCTGGTCTGGTCGACTCAGAGGGAGTGAGTCCTATCAGCTCACCGGATGATGACGGAGGACCATCTAGGTATGAAGTTGATGCTGCAGCGTTCGCGATTGCTCCCCCCAGGCCGATTGGGGATACTGTCCACCGTTCGAGCGCAAGTCCTACCCGCGATTCTCGGTTCAAAGAAGAGATGGACCAATGATTTAAATGATGATGCGCTTCTTTATTTTATTGCACACGACTTGGAGTATGGTGTCGGCAAGATGGTCAATTTACTTATCGCTATACGTATAAGGTCTCGGATATTTCAGACGAAGGCCGTTTATTGGATATGTTGGATGCTTTGGAAATACGAATGAAGATATATTTGTAGCTGTCTCATGTATCAATGAATAGTAATATGATCAAATCCCACCCAGGTCATTTCCATGTCATGAATAAAGAACCCAAATTTGCCTTCATGCTCCCAATGCATAATGAAAAGGAATTTTACGTTTCGCTCTGGATAAAATGAAATCTTTCCAATAAATAAAAAAAAAGAACAAAATAGAGCCCCAGTCGAAAAACGTAGTAGGCGGGTTTAGTGTGTATAAATCTTAATGGCTCCGCCCCTCTACTGTCTCAATGGCATGAAACTCATATCTTTATATATCTAGAAAAGGCTGGTCTCCAGCGTAGATTAGAAATGGACCAGACGACGACCGCGAGTGTACGCAGGCTGTTGTTGCCGCATGGGGAGGGACTCGTCGCTGACCGGGTCGCCCTGGACGTTGTCGCGCAGGGACGGCTTGGGGAAGCGCTGCGAGTACGACCTCGTCTTGGTGGCGGGGTAGAGGTCGACGGCGAAGGACAGGACGTATCCGGTGAAGATGAAGGCGATGACCCATTCGAAGAAGGCCGCGATGCCCTGGTGCTTGCGGAAGGTGAGGACGCCGAAGGCGACGCCCAGGGCGATCTCGACGAGGATGAATGTGAGCTTGATCCAGAAGGAGATGCGGAGTACGCGGTGCTCTCGGTTCTCTGTTTTATTGGTTAGATGCCCGAATGCTTCTTTGGGGGGGAATTCGGCGGAGAGGATTTGAAGGTGGGACGTACTAATACCAAGGCGCTGATATTCCCAGCAGATGAAGATGGCAGAGATCACATAGCCTCCCATGAACAGAAGCAAGAAAACATCATGCAAAGTCGGGTGCCGCACAGTGTCGAAGATACTGAGGCAGATGAGGCCAACGGTTCCGACGGTGGCAAAGATGATGGACAGGCCAAACAGGATCTTCTCCCCGATGGATTGGTTTGGAACGAGGCGGCCGCGATGCCGCAGCCAGCGCTCAGTCAGGAACGATATGTCGAGGGTGGCGGTGGTGACACAGCTGCCGGCGATGAAGAGGGGCTTGAGCTCGTAGGCGCCGATGGTGCTGATGTAGGGCAGCGTCATGCCGGGCTTCATGGACGAGTAGTGCTCCTTGTCGGTGTCGATGACCCAGTAGAGCAGCATGCCCAGCAGCATTCCTAGCCATACGAGGCTGGAGAATACTGGGAACCACTATAAATTGCACTTGTCAGTTTGACATAGAAAGGCCCTGGAAGGTTTGGATTCAAATTACCCAGTATGAGAAACAGCTTCTCAAGGCCATGGCGATCTTGGCTTTCCGAATTGAGTGGTTGGGGAAGGGTGGCGAGTGAAACGGTAAAGGGAACCGCCAAGTGAAGACGTCTAGGAACAGATACGGAGCAGAGGAGGTTGAGATCTAGCCCCGAGACTATATGCAGACAGGATGAAATGGGAGCCCATCGGACGTTACGTTGGGTATGATGCCATGGCCTCAGTCTACCCAGTACCGTGCCATGAATACAGGCACGTACTACAACGCGAGTAATTGGCTGACTGACATAAGGGTCTGCGCGGTTCCTTGGATGCACCAGTGAGATCATCGACCTCCACCTTGGTGTAAGTCAAGGGTCAGGAATGTATTCATCCATCAGGTTGCGGCAGAGTTGGAGATGGAGCCGGCGCGTTGTCCATGACGTCAACGGCGATCGTCATTGTGGGTTCCCTCCTCGTCCCACAACCTAAGCATCAACCAACAAGCATCAACCATCGACAAATTTGGACCACCCAGAAGATAAGCATTTTCTATTTTCTCCGGAAATACCAAATCCCACCGCCTTTCAGTATTGGGGTAATTATATCTTACGGTTATGGTGTTGCTGCTCCGGGCCACCAGCACATGTGTGACCCCTGCTGAATCCTAGACTGTGCATCTATTGGTCTTATACAACTGAGTACCTAGTTCATGCATTAGCTAAACTGCTGTTACCGTAGGAATTTAAATCCATTTCTTTCCGTCCTTACTTTCAGTCCAGCTGATTTTTTATCGTGATAATTGCGAGCGACTTGATAGCGAGGGGCTCTGTATAGCACTCCCATAGGTTGGGTACATACTCAAATACTTGTCTAGAGATACCTGCCTCGACTTTACAACATGCCAGCGAAGTTCAATGGTTGATATAAATAGTTATTCCATAGACATGTTTCATTGTCTATTATACACAACTAACTTTTCATTTCTGAAGATTATTAACACAAGCCAATTAGATGATTTTTTGACCTCCTCGAATCTCCTCGAGCTAAGAGTTCAGCACAAGAAAAGCCAGTAGATCAAAGTACCTGGTTAATTCTCTCCTTGGAAAGACACCATTCTATCCAAAGTCTTCAGCCCCTTCATCTCACACGATCTTATCCAAGGCCAACGCGCTCTCCATCAGCCTGTGAATATGAAGTCTGGCCAAGCACAAGGCTTTTGCCGCCTACTGTGCCCGGTTATCATGATCCTCGACCTTGATCCTGACCTTCTCCTTCTCCCTATCCTTGTCGTCATGACCCTTATGGTACTCATGGAAGTGAGCATGATCCTTGTGGTGATGACGGTGGTCATCATGATCCTTCCGGTGAGGGCAGTGGCGGGCATGATCTTTGTGGTGATGGCGGTGGTGGTCAAGATCCTTGTGGTAATAGCGGTGGTGGTCATGATCCTTGTGATGAGGACGGTGGTGGTGACAATGTTTATCATGATGGTGGTGACCCTTGTGATGATGAGGGTGGTGATGGCCCTTGTGCTTGTGCTTGTTCTTGATCTCCTCGATAATCTTCAGCTCCTTCTCCTTGGGCTCCTTCTGGTAATCCTCGACCCGGAAATCCTCTCCTGTAATATAAGGAGTGCTGACGAAGAGGGCAAACGCCTTGCGGATGCTGTGGGGAGTGCTTCCATCTGTGGCACCCTCCTTCCTGAAGATTTCAATCTGATATTTTTCACGCTGCAGGCGGCGACCCAACTCGTAAACGAAAGCCTAGTTTTCGTTGTTAGCATTAACCATACCTGGGAAGTGATGCTTGGCGAGAAGAAGAGAATTGGCTTACGTAGTCGGCCGCACGCAGACTGTTGACAGCAGTGACGATGAAGTAAGCGGTTTTGCCTTCAATGTGCTCGAGCTTCCTGCTGATCTCGTCAAGGAGCCTGATTAGGGCTTCGGCGTACTAGAATGATGCAGAGGAGACAGTCAGCTTTCAATGTCTTCTTGTAGCAACCAATGGCTTCTAAAACATCCCCCGAAAAGCGCTTAGTAACGTACACGGCAGAAGCAGCGGGCAATATCGGCCTCCTCTTGTTCGCTGAAGCACTTGTTCAGGTTGGACTTGTCAATTGCCCTATCGAAGAGGTCGAGTTCCCACTCAATCTCATAGAGACCCTTGCGGACTGGCTCCCAGCAATCGCGATCGCCGTTGCCGCACTTGATGTCCTTCACATGGTCAAAGAGACGGTCGGCCTTGTGAGCCAAGCGATGGAGCCTCTCGCAGATGCACTTGGCGGTCAGGTCCTTATGCTTCTTCTTCTTCTCTTGTTGATGCTTGTAATAGATTTCATGCTTGTTCTTGTCATGACCATGCTTGCGGCCGAGATCATGATGATCTTGCAAATAGTGAATCTTGTGATGGTCATGCTTGTGGCCATGCTTGTGGTGATCATGCTTGTGACAAGGCTTGTGGTGATCATGCTTGTGGCCATGCTTGTGGTGATCATGCTTGTGACAAGGCTTGAGGTGGTCATGCTTGTGACAAAGCTTTTGGTGTTTGAAGGGATCATGCTTCTGCTGCTTGGCCTTTTCGATCTTGGTTGGCGTCAGGTACTTGAACTTTTCGATTTGGGCTTGCTCCTGCGGTTTGGCCTTTTCGATCTTGGGTGACTTCAGGTACTGGATCTTTTCGATTTGGGGTTGCTCCTTCGGGTTGGCCTTTTCGACCTGAGGTGGCCTCTGAAACCTGCCGAGCTTATAGCTGGGGTTTTCGTTCTCAGATTGCTTCGGAATGAGCCTTGGAGTCTTTGGCGACTTGTATTTGACAAAATACAATGGATGCTCAGAGGGGATTTTGTGCTCTACGATCGTATCCTGAATCTTCTCGATGTTGTTGGGCCACACTTCGGGGTCATATATTTCTGGGGCCTCTGGGGCTTCTGCGGCCGTGGCAAAGGGGAACGCTACCAGAGCGGCCGTGGCAAAGGCGAGGAACCGCATGATGGGCACGACCAACAACGAGCAAGGCAGTACTTAGAGAATGACCGAGAAGGTGGGTGGAAAGGAAAACTCCCAATCTGTGCTGATGGATGGGAAGCAAATAGAGAGTTGATGGCCAGCCATCATGATCCTTAAATAGTTGTCCGAAGGCCTGATGAGACTACTTCCTGATCTCGTGAATCGCGCGTTGATAACGCGGTTCGGTGAAAGCTATGCCTCTTCCAAAGCCAATCATGACGTGAAGGAGTCGAGAACAGCTGTAAGCCGGCACTCCGCATCAGATCCTCGTATCCGAACAAGTCTGAAGACGAAGCCATCTCGAACAGCCATCCTGAATCAGGGGGTAGTTCGAAGCCAGGCCGGGACAGACTCCAGCTAAGCATGCAGGATGAGGAATGTCACTCATATCAGGATTGAAATTTGGAACATGTGTATCGAAATGCCGCATCAAATGAAGCAGCTCGTCGAATTGAGGTTCGCACTAGAGAACTTTCTAGGCTGTTGTTTTATGATATGGTTCTCGTATTGTGTTTTGCCAATGAGATGTCGGGCAGTTGACGCGAGGCCATCTTCATAAACAACTCGGCAACCGTGTTTCTGCAGAGCGCGTTTCCATCGTCCATCTGCACCGGAGAGTCAATCGGACTGCAGTGTCCATCTGTGTCCTCCTTTGGCTTAGAAAGAAAGCTCACAGGGGAAATACGGCTTGAAGGAAGTGAGGTTATCGATAAGAATCTTCCAAACAGCCCCACTCCTTGGTGTTTGGCAACACCAGGAGCTATCGGATGGGTGAAAGGAATGAAGAATCACAAAGAAATACTACTGCAAACCAGATCTCGATACTCAAGCCTATGGAAATTCGATTGTCAAAGTGGCCTTTGTACATACCATCCGCCATCTCTTGGGCGAAATTCGATGTGTTTTTGTAGATTTAGCACGTGAGGAATAGCGGCCCATTCACCATATTTCACATGATAAGCCGCCTTTAGCCCTTCTTACATCTTGCATCTGTCGGTGCCTGCTCGTACACTTCATCCTTCCCAAATACATACAAAATACGTCAATCGACACATCCAGACCGACCAAACAACAAGGCAGAGATCGCCCGCCTTTGATTGAGCCCGCCCACTCTGGGGGTCTGTTTTTCCAGCCTTGCGAGCTGAGTCTGCGAGACGGCCTCCGGTTCCTGGTTCGCCAACCACCTTCCCGCCAACCATGTCTCTCTCACCAGTCGTCACACTGCAACAGCCACAGACCGTTCGTGCTGTCTCGTCACCTCTCAAGACACTCACTTCCGGACAGACTTCCTCCAATGGCACTCCCAGACCCGCGGCTCAGCCCGCCCCAAAGTCGGTCGCCCCCGCCACCCTCGATGTCGCCGAGCAGATGAACGAGGAAGAGAAGCGGAAATACGTCAAAGGCAAGCCATGCCTACTGCAGCCCGAAACCACAAACTTCCCGTTCATTGCTAACTTTTGGACTCCTCTACAGGCAAGAAGCTTGGTGAAGGTACCTACGCTATCGTCTTCCTTGGCCACCTCCGCGCGAACCCCGCCGAGCTCGTCGCCATCAAGAAAATCAAGATGCAGAAGGAGTACACAGAGGGCATGCCCCCCGACGCCGTCCGCGAACTGAAGCACCTCCAGGAGCTGCACCACCCCAACATCATCTCCCTCCAGTCCGTCTTCTCCTCCAAGGACCAGAACGTCAACCTGGTCCTCGAGTACCTGCCCCTCGGCGACCTCGAGATGCTCATCCGAGACACCACCAACGTGCACTACGGAGCCGCGGACATCAAGGCCTGGATGGGCATGCTCGTCCGGGCCATCTGGTTCTGCCACGAGAACTTCGTCCTGCATCGCGACATCAAACCCAACAACTTGCTCATCGCCGCCGACGGCGAGGTCAAGCTCGCCGATTTCGGTCTCGCCCGCGGCTTCGGCGACATCCACTCGTACATGACCTCCAACGTCATCACCCGCTGGTACCGGCCCCCCGAGCTGCTCTTCGGCGCCAAGCACTACGGCGGCGCCGTGGACATCTGGTCCGTCGGCACCGTCTTCGCCGAGCTCATCAAGCGCGCCCCCTTCATGCCCGGCAACAACGAGCTCGACCAGATCAAGCTCATCTGCGACTCCATCGGGACACCCACGGATGACAACTGGCCCGGCGTCACCACGCTGCCCGAGTACACCGTCCCCACTCAGAACCCCGTCCGCGGCAAGGACTTCTACATGTATCAGTTCGGCACTGTTGGGCCTGACGGCGTGGACCTGCTGATTCGGACCCTCGCACTCAACCCCAAGAATCGCATCACCGCTCGTGAGATGCTCAGCCATCCTTGGTGGCACGCAGAGCCCAAGCCTACACACAAGGAAGACTTGCCTCGTAAGGATGGCGGAGAGGAAAAGATGGGTGCTGATCTTAAGCGACGCCCAGGTGTCGTTGAGGAAGAGAAAAGGGGTGCCAAGGTTGCGAGGAAGCTCGATTTTGGCGGGGCCAAGTAAGGTGTTAATTTATGCCTTTCTTTCGGCTCGGGCCTCTATCATCTGGGGCCACACTTCTTTCCTATCATTTCTATCCGGAGTTTAGATAAACATCATAGCGAGCATTTCATGAGATTCAGATACCCTCTCAAGGGAGGAGGGCGTACAAAAATTGTGTTGAATTTAGACAGACCAGAGTTAGCAATTCCCTGTTCGAACAAACAAATTTCCCTCCGATATGTGAATATGTACCAGCCATATATGTAAAGTTCAATGAAACCGTGAGCGCCATGTCAAAGCGTAAACCTACGCGCCCTTTTATACCGGGTAGGTAGTCTAAATCTTGTCAGAAGCTTCTCCCTGGTGTACCATCTCCTCGCTGGGCTCCTTCTGAGCGATATTTCCGAATAAACACTCCCACAAATCGGAGCTGGGAACCACTTCTCCTGCGGTTTTGTCTTTGCTCATCAGCTTTGAAAGAGCCGCTTGTTCCAATTCCAGCGTGTTTGCAGCCTCCAGTTTGGCGTCCATAAGCTCCTGTGTCTCTTTTCCTTTCGCAGTTTTCCCCATGTGCTCGAGACGACGCTTGACTGACAGATTGTAGATGGATTCCTCGACAGTCCCAGCGGTAATGTATAGCCAAACCGTTGTCTTGTGTTGCTGGCCGATGCGGTCCACTCGCGCGATGGCTTGCAGTTCAAGGGCCGTGTTTACAAGAGGTTCGCAGAGAAAGACGTGGTTGGCATTGACCAAGTTCAGCCCGCTAGAATGAGCTCTGGCATGGAGGAGGAAGACCTCAATGGCTGGATCTTCCTTGAAACGTGCTGTTCCACCATGACTGTCGATAGAGGCATATCCAATCCGAAAGCGCTTGAAAGCTGTGGCGAGGATCCCCAAGAAATCCTTGTATCTATTGAGTGTATAATGATTAGAATGGCAGCTAATGGCACTGCAAATATAAACTTACTGTGAAAAAATAATCGATTTCGCTCCTGGATCAGATTCTCGCAACCAAAGGAGATGTCGTACGAGGGTGTCGACCTTGCTTGTGTAAGATGGGCCGTCAAGCTCTATGTTTTTTATTTCTGCTAGCTTTTCCGAGTTAAAGGACGAGTATATCGTAGTTTGTTGCTGGTCAGAAACCCCATTGCTTGACTGGCCTGTACCGGAAACACCTGGATCGGCAACGCCTTGGCCGTCGTTGTGGATTTTGAGTGACTGTGGCTTTATTGTGATATCGTGAAGCTGTGACACATGCAAATGGCGCTTGCACACTGGGCAATTTCGATGGGCTTTGAACCACATCATCATGCAGGCTTTGCAAAACTGATGACCACAAACCGTCAAAACACCCGTTTCGAAGGTTGTCTGACAGATGACACACATTCGGGGCTCGTTGGATTTGGAACCAGCCTCTTTCAAATACAGCACTATGAATGTCAGTACCTACATTATTTGGCAAATATCGGCATGGGCTTACAGTATCTGTGTTTCCCCTCAGCAGAGGCCACTTTCTGTACAATTTCTTCCTCTGTCTTAATGATCCGAACAAGCGCCTCTTCTGTTTTTTGGCCATCAAAGGGAAGAACAGAGTCTGAAACAAATTGAAGTTGTCGGTAGTATTCGAGACGGGCGTTCATGGTGGCAGTAAACGTATCGATCTCGGATTCCAGAGAAGACGATACCTTATTCTGCTGGGAGAGAGCTGTCTGGGTAGATTGGAGTTGCCGCAATGCTATAGCATGTTCCGCAGAGATGCGTTCAAATTTGACCTTTTCGTTGTTTAACCTGGATGTCAAGTTACGGAGCTCGCTTGCTTGTGTGGTGGGATTTAGCTGTCCAATTGCGGCTGCATGGTCTGCAGCAACCCGCTCGGCTTTTAGCTTGTCGTTGGAAAGTCTGGACGTGAGGCTTCTGAATTCACTGATGGCTCCGCGCATTGAAGTAATTGCTGATTGAGGCTTGATCTCTGCCCTATCCTGCATTAGCCTCAGCAAAAGCTCTGGAGCGGGACCCTCCCCATCCTTTGCTAGTCTGACTGAGGTCTGAGTTTCATATTTGACCAATTCGTTAGTTTGTCCCGACATGGCATCCTGTCGGTCGGCAATTGCTGCCCGAAGAACTTGGACGTAAACCATGAGATGGTCTTGAATCTTGGCAGACTCCCCAAGCTCCTCTCCGGTAGTTTCAACTTCATCCTCTTCGTCAACAAGAGACTTTAGCAGAAGTTGAACCACTTCCTCTCTCCACTCGTCGATAATGTTTGCCTGCTCATTTAGTTCTCCGTAGAGCAATTCGAGTTCGTCAATAACTCTACTGCTTTCAAGTCCTCGTTCAGGTCTAACGCTAAGCTCAGGGATCTCAGCAAAATCCTGGCCGGATCCCTTACGAGATAGCTTCTTCATAAGCCGTGTTGTTTTGTGGTGGCTCTCTGAAAGAATTTCCCGACGAATTTCCTTTGCTGTATCATATTCTCCGTCCTCCAATTTCTTGAGCTCATTATACTCATCCGAG